CTAACTAATTTTAAGTACAATTTTCGAAAATATAATATCTATAATGGTCAATTACTGTTATAGTTATATGAGTTACTAAGTAAAATTGAATGCAAATGCTTGTTTCCCTCATTTTTATGCTTATCCGAATACGAATTACGAACACACTACTTAATTAAATGTAACAATCGAAAACTGAAAACAAATATAAAAAAAAGTGTCACGAAAATATTTGGCAGTGCAACACTTGTAAATATGTTTTTTCTTGTAGTAATAAAAAATGATCTTGTTCGATAAATGTTTTTAACCTATAAGTAATGTAGGTACATAATGTTAATAAATGATAATGAGTATTACAATATCCAAAATTATTTTATTTCCGTTTTCGTGACAAGCCCTAGCATACACTGGCCGCGTCAATACCTACACAGGTGGCGGCAACGCCTGACATCAAAGACGTTTCACAACTAAAGGTCTAAACTGTGGTTATACCACAGAATAAATAATAGTACAAGAACAGAAGGATCACTTTGCGATAGCAAACTTGCGAGTTTAAACACAGTTACATGGTCGCTAATGTTCATAATACTTTGCACGCCTCGGACACGACCTTCGTCAAAAACGTCGAAAAAAAATTTATGAAAATGCACCTTGCGTCCGCGTGCGATAGTCTGTACTACTTAGCCCGTTACGCGCCTTTTTAAGGCCGCACCTACTGTAGGGTTAGATGTTGTGAGAAAACAAAAATGAATCCTTTGATATTAGTTGTAAATAGAATACATCGAGTGAACATTATTGTTCAACGTGAGGAAGGTTAATATGCCACAATAAGAAAAATTAAGATTGTAACAACGTGAACGTCTTTGAAACTCAGATAATTTACCTACTTACCATTTTAACCAACCTAAAAAAAGAGGTACTAGACTGTATTTTTTATGTGTTCCTCAGAACTTTTTACTGGGTGAACCGATTTTAATTTTTAATTTCATTAATTGTCTCTCTTCTTCTCTTTTTAAGAAAACGTTACCTCCACACTAGGACTTTCTTCTGCATCGCGGGAGCAGTTTACATACATGGATTTCACAAGGACAAATATCCAGACTCAGAACAATTATTTGTAGGCCACACAAATACTTGCTGCTATTATCAATCTTTTTCTTTTATCGACCAAGTATTAAACTAATAACCAGTATATGCTAATCTTACATTAGCAGGCAGTCACTAGTACTGGAAGGTCTACTTAAACTGTTTTTTTAAGGTCATTGGCATTATACGCGAAAAAATATCGAAAACTGCGAATCTGTGGTCGAGTCGCTAATCAAATAATAAATCTGTAACTATGGCGTCAGTAATTAGGTACCTAATTATCTATATTTGCCTATAAATAATAATATCTTACCTTTCGGTATCCTTAGGAACAGTAAATGAAAATTCGATATTCCTATTGTTATATAAGCAACCGTATGCTATGCAGTACATTTTGGCTTTTTGAGAGGCCATACTTGAATAAAACTTCAAATATAAATATCAAAAGTGCCTATATACTAGAATTATTTTTTTGTTAAAATAAGGCGCGCGTCAGCTCGAGCGCGCGTGTCACAATCTCGCGAAATTAGCCCCTCGTAGGGAGCCGCGCAGCGGAGGTATATTTTCATGCCTAAAGCGCGGAGTGAGACAGGCCTGGTTATTACTAAAGTATAACGATAGCCCTAAAAATGGTGCTACCATTATTTTACTCGATGGCGTGTCAGTGAATTTACACCGCTTTCGTTCTACCTTTATAAAATTGCGATATCAATATTAACAGTCTCGGATTGGGGGCGACTAAATCCAGTCCAGTTTAATCCTCAGAAGAGACAAGTTTGCGCTTTAACCGCTAAAAAGAACCCCTTTGTCGTATCTCCTCAGTTTCAAGGTACTTCCCTCGTTGCCTCAGCCAGTATCGGAATCCTCGGCGTCGACATATCGAGTGACGCGCAGTTTCGTCGTCGACATATCGAGTGACGCGCAGTTTCGTCGTCGACATATCGAGTGACGCGCAGTTTCGTCGTCGACATATCGAGTGACGCGCAGTTTCGTCGTAACTTGGTAGAGAAGGCCAAATTGACCTCAAAAAGCTTGGCGTGCTCAGCAGAGCGGGACAGTATTTCATGCCGGCGCAACGCCTGCAACTTTATAAGGCGCAGGTTCGGCCTCATATGGAATACTGTTCCCTTCTCTGGGATGGGGCTCCCCAGTGCCAGCTCCTTCCACTTGACCGCATCCAGTGCAGAGCGGCTCGAATCTTCGACGACCGAGTCCTTTCCGATTCAGTGGCGCCGCGAAGAGATGTTGCATCCCTCTGCAATTTCTTTCGCATTTACCACGGGGAGTGCTCTGAGGAATTGTTTGGATAAATCCCATCCGCCAAATTTCACGAACGCACATCGCGGCAAAACCCTCGATACCATTCACACTATATTCACCTTTTATACCGGTAGCGTAATCCCAAACCTTAACCGAAATCAATACCGGCTTTATTCATAGAGTTGGGTCAATCTAATTATTTCAATATTTTATATCACATTGCCTACTCATATTGAGCATTATTCGTATTGCCCGGGCAAAATGAATAATTCCCAATTAATCACTTGGTCCATAACACATATATGAGTCTAAAATCTAATTCAACAAGGAATATGTACCAAGCATTTATACCAAATCATAAAAATCATCTACACAAACAGGAAGACCAGAATCCAGCTGAAAACTGTAGGAAATGAATTTAGCATACGAAGACGTGTGAGGCAGGCAGACCCTTTATCCCCAAAGTTGTTCTCTGCTGTGTTGGAAAATATATTCCGCATCATCATTCGCCCCAGGCTAGTACGTCATCAATATAAACGGGTCAAAACTGCACCATTTAAGATTTTGCCGACTATCTGGTACTACTTGAAGAACTCCCTGAAAATCTGTTATATAGGTATGTTAAATAATCTAAATGCAGACAGCATATAAGTCCGACTAAAAATGAACACTAGCAAGACCAAAATAAAAGGACCACCTAAAACTCAATATCACAATTAAAGGAGATTCCTTAGAATATGTGGAAGATTACATAATACGAGTATACTGATGTCAAACCATTTCCATAGAACATCAAATGACGAAATAAATTATTAACCTCTGGGTCTGAAGCCTGATTAAAACTCTTTCGGTTGCAAACAGTACATTGCAACAAATGAGCGTCGCTTTTTATTCACTAGCGGCCTGCTCGCCTTCGCCTGGGTGGTCTATTAATTTGGCGTCATTTAGATTTTTCAAAATAATCATCAAAGACCATTTTATTTTAACGATTTTACGGTATTACAAAAAAATACTCCCAAGTCTTTTATAGATAAAATATAGAATATAGCCGAGGCGAGATGAGATGTGATTGGTGAGATGAATAGAAGTCATTGATGCTTATTTTATAATGCGCCATGTTCTTCGGATAAAATTAACCTAGATCGCTCCTGGCATTGTTCTCTGTCCGTTCGTGAAGTTTTATCACAATCGGTTCAGTACTTACTTATCTTCACGTACAATCCCTGACGAGGTAGCCAGAGAGAACAGATCGCCAAGTGTCACGATCCTTACATACCTCTTTCGCTTCTTTCAGATTCATTATCTTCTTCATACATGCACGTCTAGGTATCCGAGTACTCTTGACCCTCCCTTTCTTCGAGCAATTTGCTCACATGGTCTTCGAAAGTTAGTCTCGGTCTACCTCGACACCTTTTAATATTTACTTTCGCGCTATATATTTTCTTCACCATTCGGTCTTCACTCATTCGCTCAACGTGCCCAAACCATCGAAGCACGCCCTTATCAATTTTTGTGATAAGGTCATCTTTCAAATCTGCCATATTGCGAATCTCTTCGTTTCGCTTTCGGTCGGCCATGGTAACGCCGCACATTTTACGAAGAGATCGCATCTCCACTGCATTCAACTTACTTTTATGCTTCTTCTGGCATACCCAGGTTTTGCTGCCATATAGCAAAGTCGGTACCAACACTGCGTTATGTATTGCAAGGCGTGCACTCTTCACTACGCCTTGCCTTTTGACTAACGCAGTCAGGGCACCATTGACTTTGTTCCCGGCAGCGACACGCCTGTCCATCTGTCTGCACATCTAAATCACATCTTCCATCCCGGATGAGAGCACTCCCCAAGTATACAATTTCATTTACCTGTTCTAGTCATTCTGAAAATTAAAACAAATTAAACAAATCATGTCCTAATAGCATGCTAATAACGGCCTAAGCTCGATTAAAGGCAGTTATTTCGTTACATGCACGTATTACAGACACACACTTAAATCCTTTTTTTTTACTGCGCTTTTTGTAGTAGTTAGTGCAAACCTTTACAACACAAGTTTGCATTTTTGCGAATGAATTTACGACCGTTCTTTCATCACTTTTATTTAAAAATGACATCGTTACATCCACTTTAGTGACGCCATTTTAAACGCGCTTGTGTGGATTTTTATATATATATATAATCAATCTTTAACGGTAAATGTTGACCCAATAAGAAGTTAGAACAATTGTTGATGAAGACTACGCAATAAAATATAAGTCAATGTTTCACTCCTCAGGAGACCTTAATGGTGGATTTTATTTATTTATATGGTACCACCCCTGAAATAAAGTCCTAATTTAATAGTCATTAAAATCAGTTCGGAATTGCCGAAGATATCGAGTGACAAATACAAGAAAGAACATAGTCGAATTTAAAATCTTCTTTGAAGACGACTAAAAATATGAACGCACATTATTATAATTATATAGATATGTATACGTAAAGACAGTTTCATAAAAACGGGTTATTTTAATCGCAATCATTTATTTGACAGAGTTACTCATTAATAATTTCCAATTATTATGTACTTTAACAAATTTATTCTATGCTGTAATATTGTTACTTGTTCAATACATTTATAATGATTCTTGTTGTCCTAACACTATTTACTTGCAAAAATTTATCCAAATATGCTATATCAATCATCCAAGTACTCGAATGGTTCTGGTGGCTCGGGCTCTTTCTCTTCCTCCGTTTTTGGACCAAACGCTGCAACAGGTTCAACAAGAAATTGCTCAACATCACCAGAGTGATTTAGCATAACAATACCTCCAATGGTAATGTCTTTCAAAGGAGAAAAACCAAAGCCTTCAACAATAGATATGCCTTTAAGTTGTTGCCTCATTACTCTAGCTGGATTGTTCAGAATCTCAAAGTTGGGTTCAGGTTCTTTCTTCTCTTTAGACTCTTTTTCTTCGCCTTCTTTTTCTTCCTTTTTCCCTTCTTTCGATGGTGCGGCATCCTTTTCGGATTTACCATGAACAGTGATATTAGGATTGGGCGATTTTGATGGCTTCTTTTCTTCTTCATCTACCTCCATTTTTGATGTGGTTGAAGTTGTAGCACTGCTACTAGAACTATCAGTTCCGTGCGCCCTCCTGCGTGCTCTTGCAGCGGCGATACTCAATACGGCAGTAGTAACTCTCTCCCTTTCTTCGCGTTTCTTCTCTTCCAAAGGTGCTGGGTAAGCGTAGAGCGATGGTTTCGAATTTGATTTTATTTCTAGTTGAGGCATTTTTAGGTCAGAGTTAAGTGCAATCAAACAAGTTGGAGTAAATGCTAGGGACAAGCAGTGAGCAAGTGGGAACCAATACCAATACTGGGTGAAAACTAACATGCCCACTACAGCCAGCATGTTCATATGGCCGGTTCTGTTTTGAAGGGATACTGTTACATTTCGTCCACCGGCGTCAATAATACCTTGAGCTAAGATAGCGCCGAATTTAGCCATAACATCTTCATGCTTATTTGAGATGACTTGTGCGTAAAGTTGACGGAAGTATGTGACCTTAGGACAGAGAGCCTCAGTTTGTTGAATGAGTATCATTGCTGACGCAATTAACGCTCCTTGCCTGACAAAATTAACGGGGTCAAATTTGACCATGGGTTCTAGGAGACCGATAGCTTCACGGTTACCAGTACCAGCGCAAGCTATGCCCAAAGCCATAGCAGCGCCGTAACGAACATGAGGGTTATAAGACTCCGCTAGTAGGGAAACTACAGATGGACATTGTTCAGGGGTTCTAAATAGCAAGAAGCCAAGAGCAGTAACAGCCGCGCGACGTACGTCATCATTAACATCAGAAACAGCAACGTGAAGGAGGGTACGAATAGAATCATTATTACCCGTGCCACAATACGCAGTTGCAATAGTGTAGCAACCAGCACGTCTCAATAAGGGATCTTTATCTCTAAGTAATTGTTGAACAAGAGCGTCAGCTTCTTCAAGTCGTCCATACATGGTAAACGAAATACCAACGGCTAAACCGCGCAAGATCTTTTCGTGTTGAGTTTCCTGGGCATAAGCTACCATATCCTCAATAGCCGCTGCATTTCTCGATCCTAACATGACCATACCCATTGCAATACCTGCAGCTTCACCAGTGACAGCGTCATCTTGATACAAATTAAATTTAAGTTGTTCATAAACATCCTGCCGGTGGGTACCCATAGCAGCTAAGCCCAAACCAAGGCACCCACCATGGCGTACCATTTCATTCTGAGCATCTTTTAATTGTGTTAAAAGATAGTCAATGATATTGGCACCATGGTTGGCATGGATTAAGCCTAAAGCATACAGACCACCACCTTCTGAGTAGCCTGATGAAGGGCCTGCTTCTTTCGGTAAATATGATTGCATAAGAGCTAACGATTCATTTTCGTGACCTCTGTGAATGACACCAAGAGATGCTGTAACTGTTAACTTAGCCCAGTTAGTTGCCCTTGCGAGCCATTCTAGGTTGTCCCTCAAAAATTGATCACTGGTTGTCCCTGCATGCATAAAAGCATTTGCTATGACTGTTGCTGTATGGCATATAGAAACTCTGATGGCATCCTTTGTATTCTTCAAAATAAGCATATCAGCATGATTTGACCTGATTAAGAACTGTAACTGTAGCCCTATAGACACGTCACCTCCTAGGATGGATATTAACTTTTCAACCCTTTTTTGATGCTCCTTTTCTTCATCATTCAGACTATCTATATCTCTTTCTGGTTTCTTGGATTCTTCAGTAGGTGCCTGATCGACTTCCATCGATGATTCTGGAAAAGGTCCACCCTGAGGTTGTGGTTTCCCACCAAGGGCACCGGGAATAGGTGCGGTAGTTCTTAAAGCTTGTAATACTCTCCCTAAGAACTGTTGTGTAGCGGAGTCATACAAGTCAAATGCTATCTGATAAGCCATAAGAACAGATTCCTGTGGTCCATGGGTTAGTTTATCAAGAATTTCCGCAACCGATAATGGGTCCTCGAGGAAGATTAAGCATTGACACATGTTGACATAGTCTGGAACATTCAGTCCTCTATACAAACCCACAAGGGAGCGTAAAACTGTGCTACGAAATCCTCTATTTTGCAGTAGACTCATCGCAACTGTGAAGGCATACTGAAGCATTCCTGAAATAAAAGAAACAAAGTTTATTGATTATACTTTTTGAATGGCTGTGTGGCAGTGGCTAAGTATAGAGTTGTGACGCTGAGGACCACTGGTTTATATCCTGCATGGATCAAGTATTTCTATGGCCTACGAATAATTGTTACGAGTGTGGATGTTTGTCTTTGTACAATTTATGTACATAAACTTAGACAATACAGGAAACGTATGTAGGGCAGTCCCAGACTTCTGAGAACTTTGAAGCTGCCTGCTATCGCCGTTCTGGGTTTTTTACGTATAAAGGGGTTGTACCACCAAGGGATGGGTTGTACCACCATCTACAAGTAGCCATGAGATTTTTATGGCATGATCACTGTAGCAAAGCTTTTTTTTTCAAGCATTTAACTAAAAAGCTAATTGAATATTATAAACAGTTTATATGATATTTTATGAGGTTTTATGGATAATAAGGAAAGCTCAAACCATCATAGAGAAATTTTCTCATATTTCAGAATGATAATGACCACAGATTGTAAGTTAGACTAAGGCCTTTCAAATAGTGAAAACTGCTCAAACAATTTGCCTATTTATGCTCAACATATACATACATACATTTATCCTCTTTCTTCAATGAATAATTTACTGTATAGCAATACTTGGAATAAATAATTCCCATCATACTTCACTTCCTTTCTTGTATCTATCTTACTTTCTTAAACTGTGATTGTCTTGTGTGCATCAAAATAATAATAAAATTATTTAATTTCTTAACTTAATTGTATAATTTATGTACACCTCCCTTCAGTCATTTGTAGTGAACAATTCTTTGTCTGTCTGGAAATTGTGTACTTTTTTTATTTATTTAATTTTGTTTCGGTTTCAATGTCTATTGGTATAAAGTATATTGATAAATTGAATGTCGCATCAAAAATAGTTTTTAATTTTACTTTCATCCCCTGTTAAATGAAACTTATTTTACGGATTGTATTATTTCACGTTTAATTTTAATAGTTTAACTTTCAACATTTTGGATGCTGTCGCATGGACCCATAGGGTCACCCCATGGGGTGTTGGTTAAAGTTAAACATGATAAAATATGTATAATTAGTTTCATTTAATGTGGAGTATTTGTGTAAATTGATTTCATCCCGATTTTTACCTTTAGGGGTGGAGTATTCATAAATTCTAGAATACATGTTACTAAGTATCTAATTGAAAGGTTATAATAGTCTTGTCAAATATATAATTAAAACATGGCAGGTTTTTAAACAATATTTCATCTTTAATTTTACTCCCTTATGGGTAGAATTGTCAAAAATACTGAAACATGTCTCGTAGGTTTTAATAACAAGTGGTAAAGTAAAAATTGTGTACAACCAACTTCAATATAAATTAAATCAATTCATAAACAAACAAAAAGTTAAGCTGAATTTACTTGCAAGAGAGGTAACCCAATATCAACTTTGACCCAAATGAGAGTATACCGTAGTATACTGAACATAACTGCGTACCCCTTTACAGGGTACAGGTGTGATATTATGTTGTGTGATTGTGTAAACAATGCATAGAGATAGCTGCAATTGCGGTTAATTTGCTGGTATTTATAACAGAGTTCCATTGTCTGTCTCCGAAACTCATAATCAGATCTTTATGAAATTTAAATGCACCATTTCGGAATAAAGCTCTTTGGAACCAAAAATATTTTTGCAAATCCATCTATATATGACAGAGTTATGCCTGAACATACATAAAAAAATAAACATTCAAATTGAGAACCTCCTCCTTTTTTATGTCGGATAATAATCATACGGATACGGTGATACGGTGACAATACAGAAAGATAACCATCTAAATTGATAATGAAAGGTACAGATGGTAAGGGAGAAAAATACGGAATGGACAATAGCACAACATAAATCATTGGAACGTTGTAAACTTATTGGGTAGAAAGGATGTGCAAATCCTGATGGTAATATTAGGGCTGCTGACGTCAAATTGACTTTGTTAATTTCTAATGTAAGTGAGGAAATTAGTGAAAATCATATAATTAGATATGTGAAAGAAAGAACTGATGATAATGTTCCCTTGATAAATATGAAAACTGTAAAAAGTTACAATGCTTATAAGTTGTATGTTTCTAAAATGTAAGTTAGATTTATTTTAACCGACTTCAAAAAAGGAGGAGGTTCCAATTCAAGTGTATGCTTTTTTGTATATATGTTATGTAATATCTTCACAGATTGTGAACCAATTTTTGACAATTATTTTCTTTATTAAATCAGTTACAAGCTTGGTCTCACATAAATTTGGAAAAAATATCCACCCTTGAGGGTAGCAAATAACTTCTTTTTTAGCAATTCAAAGTTGGTTTTTACATTTTTGGCCACGTGGTATAACTTTTAGGTGTTTAATGCATTTTATTCCTAGGACGAAAATGGAAATATCTGATGTTTAAGTTATTAATTCTGATATGAATAAAAATAATAACAAAATAAAATATTGTAAATTTTCTAGTTTTTTTTATCTGTAAAGCGTTTAATTCATTGTGTATGAAATATCTGTGCAGTCAGTTTTAGTGGCCCTCCAAGAGACTTGGCTGCTTCCCCATTAATATTTTTAAAATGTGCAAGAATAGGGTGGTAATTTATTAAAAACTACACCATTATATTCATGCAAAAATCAGCTAGGGTATGCATCAAAGCATTATTGCACATTGATTAAGATGCAAATCACTATCAAATTTGTGCCACAGTGCTAAAGCAAGCCCAAATGCTACGATAAAATTCAAAACAAATAAGCATACCTGGTATATCATCAGATTTCATGATGGATTGTTCAAAGATATCCATGCGACGAGTTTCAAGCGCTAACCCAAGAGCCTGTCGATACTGTCCATCATCAAGGCATCTTTGAAACATGCGATTCACGATGGCCTCCAAGCGAGGATCGATTGGTTCCGATGAACTGTCCACAAACAAAGCCTTCCGTTTTTGAGTATAGAAATCAATTGCTTTTGCAATTGTTGTATCAACATATTCATTTCTTGCATTTACATCAAACAAATCACCTGCACCGAGTGCGTACGTTAATGAGTCTTCGAAAGCACCCAGATGATAATACACTTTACTGGCCACTAAAGCTGCAAGTTGATGTTGCGAAAACACTTTATCTTCGTGGAGAATTTCAATTTTTTCAATAGATTCCGATATTTCTGGCCAAAACTGGTCTACAATATTATCCAACCTTTTAAGTGCAAATTCTTTCACTTCGTGCATAGGCTCATCGAGCAGGGATATTATCCCTGCGGCTGACGTGATATTCATTTTGATCAACTTTGTTTTATATTTAAATATTGAATCAAAAATCAATAACTTTTCTTTGTGAAAATAACAATGAAATTACAAACTCTAAAATGAGTTCACGATGATTTGTCAAATTCGTTTTTCCCCATAAACATTTTTTTATAACTGGCTTTATGGCTCTGGGTTCTAGCGCTTCTGAGCATGAAGTAACAATGTATAATTATAGTGATCGGAATAGGTAGTGCAATTTAGGGTAAATGACTTTAAACGTTGTATAATATAGATAAGCCTTGTGGGAAGCGGGATTTTATTATTTGTTATAATGAAATGGTTTTCTTCTGACAAAAATAAATATTTTCTTCATTGCTAATATATTTTGAAATTCTTTATTATAAAAATAATTTTGGGGCTAATAAATATATACAAGTACTACTTTATAATTTGTAAAGTATTTAGAAAAATACTTCTAATGGTATTTTTTTTTATAAATTGAGATAAGTTTCCTAGTAATTTTTAAAGGGTGGATTTTAAAGGGTGGACTCCGGACTTGCACAATTGTTACCACAGTCTATAAATCCATACAGTCGTCCGACGAAGACGTCTAGACAGGGTAATCGTGCGGGGTGTGAGGGGTGAGACGCGGGAAGGACGAGCCCGAGCTGCTCGTGCCAATCGTATTAGTAGCTCGGGACACGACTTCCAGGGTTAACGCGCGTTTGCTTTTATAATTTTTAAATTTAGTGTTGATACTTATAATTAAAATGGTTTATACGACGTGTGCTGTGAGAGATTGCAAGTCGTTATCTCGCATAAATAAAGATCTGCGATTTCACGAAATCCTGCACACGGAAGAAAGGTAAATAAATATTGTTATTATTTTTTAAATTTTTGTCATGTCATGCCAAATTGCCAACGTAAAAAAAATGGCGGACGTAAAAATAGGTATAGTGCCACCAACTTATCTGTTCAGGTGGACAAAATTGGAACTAAGGCCGCCATTTTGTAAATGACATATCGCTGTCAGCCATTTTTTATTCAGAGTGTTTTAAAAAGTACAAATAAAATGCCTAAAGGTCTTAAAAGTGATACGCGGCAGATTATCTTAAAAGTTTTACGTCCTATGAAAGAAGAAAAACGTTTACAAGCCCCAATTATACCATTTAAAAAGCTGTGTGAACGCGTTGCTGCTGCAAAAGGTTAGTATTGCCAGATATGGAAAAGTAAAATCACCAAATAATGTACTCGTGAAACATAAAATTATCTCAATTTACTATCATCCATCTAAAATACCAGCGTTTGTAGTCTAGGAAGTAGCTTTAGTGAGGGCATATTTACGGGCTTATATTAATTAATTATACCTATATAATAATTATATGTCGTTTCTTACAGGTGTTTCTGAGCGATTTGTACACAAACTCGTCAATGAAGTAAAACACGCTGAAGAATCCAATTTTAAAACTTCTGCCCCTGGCAAAAAAGGCAAAGATAAACCGGGAAACAAGAAATTAATAATTTTGACATTGGACAAAAAGAAAAATTCACGAATTTTATTCAGTGTGAAACGAAATTTCTACCATACGGAAATAAATAAAAAATATGAAAAAATGTGAGTTAATAAATAGAAATAAATCTGCTCCGGAATATGGAATTAATAGCCTGATGAAAGTCATAGCCATAATATTCTTAGATTGCCACCTGATCATTGCGGCTTGAACGCAATTGAAATGATATGGAGCTCTATGAAAAGGAACGTAGCAGACAAAATGTTGGAAAACCTAATGTTCAAATGCCTCAAATAATTGAAGATGCAGACCATAAAATTACACTGGTGGAGTGAAAATATAGTGAAAAAAAATGAAAATGAATACAGACAAAAAGACAGATGAACCCTTTATTACAGAGTTACAGAGCGATAGTGAAAGTGATTCCAGTGACGCAAAAGATGAATTGTTGTCACCAGTAGCTAACGTGGGTACATCATTCAAAACAACTGGAGTTCTGCCGCTTGAACTCCAAGATCACAACCACAATTATTTTTATAAAATATAAATAATATATATATAATAACACTAATTTTAATATATTAACACGAAATTTGTTTTATTTTACATTATTTGCAATGAATATGTAGTCACCTATTTCGTCGGTAAATTTCTTAAATGGCAATAGTAAGCACTCCACTAGCGACTCTGTCAACTGAACAGATAAGTTGGTGGCACTGTATTAGTCGCTGGACATTACTGTTTCGAAATTTGATTATTTTTCTTCATCTAAATCGTGTGGTTGGACAGGCTAAGGTTTTAGACCATACTATAGTGCCTCGTATTCGGTTTTTCGAAGTGTTTTATAAAATATTAAGATTTAGGGGTCAATTTTTAGGTTTGTCGGGGTGCTAATTACGAAAATAGCATTTATCTTTATATCCAAGATGGCGGTCATTTTTTAATATATGTATGATATGGATGTCAATTTCAAGGTTTATTGGGGTGATGATTACGAAAATGGCATCCATTTTTATATACAAGATGGCGGACATTTTTTTTAATAATATGATATGGGTATCAATTTCGAAGTTTCTTGTGGTGCTCATTACGAAAATGGAATTCATTTTTAAATTCAAGATGGTGGATATGATATTTTTGATGTTATGGATGTTAATTTCAAGGTTTTTTGGGGTGGCAATTACGTAAACGGCATCAATTTTCATATCCAAGATGGTGGATTTTTTTTAATAATACAATATGGATGTCAATTTTAAGGTTTCTGGGGGTGATAATTATGAAAATTTATTAATAAGTATTGTATTTAAAAATTTCAGATGCAAATTATGGATGGAAGTTATTGGAAGACCTGATTTAGTTGGAAGAACTTTCGAAAGCCTAAAGAATCAATTATAAAATAAACCAATAATTCAATGTCTGTAGTCATTGTAACGTTAATAATAATATAGATTTGATGTCCAGCTAAGAGTATAAGAACGATTGTATGTAGCGAAATTGAGATATGGCCACATATCGAGAGTAGAGCACTCCCTCACGTTGTGAGGCGGGCAATTAACGTTTTGAGTACTTTCAGGAAAAATCTAAGAACAACAAATTGTTACTTATTTTTATATTAGTAATCATACTGTTGATGACGATTTAAATCTAAAATAAATAATTAAATTAGTAAAAGTTGTGAATTTGTGACAACCCTAACCTCCATACGCTGTTTAGCCGTTGTCGGCATTTACCACGAGATCAAAGGCGTCGTCCTACTGTATGTTTATTATACTGTGATTGTTACTGTGTGATACTCACTACTAAACTTAGTTTTGAGTTAATAGAAAGTTCCCTGATTAATTATTGCTTGCTTATGCGTTACGCAGATGAACAAAAATTGCTTTGTAACTATATATTATATTAATAGGAGTGTGAATACTATGAATGATAATTATTAATTATCCTTCATAGTATGTACAGTGCCTCACAATATGTTAAGGGTGCGTTTGCAAATCGGGCCTAATTATGCTGTTTTTCGGTACATTTTGTGACAAAACTAAACCAAATCAAATATAGCTAATAGCTACAACGTATAGAATGGTTCTTTATCTTCAAATGGTGGTAACTTTTTTCTTGAAAATAATAGTTTTTTACATTGTATAAGGGATCTTCCCTAGCCATTTTCTACAAAATTAACGATACCGGCTCATGTTTCGGTACATTTTTTGTTCTATTATCAACATATATTAAGATTTCTAAAAATACTGTAAGTAGGCAGACATATTCAATAAAAAATGCTGGAGATTACTTTTTATCAAAATGTCACAAATGGTCGTAAAAAAAATAAAAACTGATGCTTATTTTTTGACATATTTTGCTGATACGGATGAATCCTAATCGATTGCAATAAGGGTTATTTTATTTTTATTGCCTGTTTTAATATGTTGTACAAAAATTTCGATGAAACCACAGTCGGCGCTCGGCCGCTATCGCGGGTGGTTGCTGTACCGCCTAGACGTGGGTCGTTACGTCATTTTCAAGAAACGTAACGAAACCAGTGACTTGGTCGGCGTCACCTGTTTCAAAACTAGTGATTTTTGTAACTGGCTATTTTTATTTGGCTACTGTGATTGTTTGCATAAATACCACCAAGAACTATACAGTTACACACGAAACGAAAATAAATTTAATCACTATTAAAGTGTTTTAGCTATACAGTTAAATCAATAAATTAACTTCCCTTCATACTTTATTCAGGCTTAGAACTGACTGCATTAAATGTATTTATGATTGTTTTGTATTTACTATGAAACTAAGATTTTCATAAAATTATTAATGCAGGGGTATTTACAAGTCAATTTGATTATATATACAATGATTATTGATATTCACAGTTTATTTAAACTTGTACAATCCACACTAATTATATTTATATAATATAATAACAAAGAAACGTTACAGTAAATGTACATAAAACACCAAAATAACATATAAATGTAAATTTTTACAAGATAGTATTCAAAATTATAAACAAGTACAACGGTGAACTAAAACAAACTAAATTATTTTACTTAAATTCAATGTGACTATCGCTTCCCGGAATTGCAAAGCGTTGAAATTTTTTACAAACAAAGATCACTCTATTTATATTGTCTATATCTATGGTCTTACGTATGAAAATTAAACGTACAATAATACTATTACATACGCTGTTTTGTTTATTGTTGTATGCCACATGTACGCTTTGCGCTTGACCGACCGAGAGTCGACTCGCAACAATCACAGTTAACAATAATAACGCATTTACAAAAATCACTACTTGTAATATGACTCGAAACTAGTGATTCGGTTACATGCCGCGTAGCTAGTTATTGTAACTAGTGACGTGAAATAACGCCCACGTCTAGTACCGCCTGCAGCAGCTGAAAAAGATCGCTGTACAAACACAAAATATTCGCATTTGATACATAGGTACATGACCTGACAAAGTAAAATAATACATGATATAAATATTTTTATAATCACAAATTCTTATTATAA